CTGGGGGGGGAAAACAACAACAACAACAACAACAACAACAACAACAAAACGAAGCGAATGGCGCGATTTGCGCATCTTCGCGACTCTCTGAACGGCCTCGTGGAGCGTCTTGGGGGCCTCTTGGGATATCTTCAGCCCACCGAAGTTCCTCTTGGAGCGCTCTTGTGCTGTCTTGGGTCTCTCTTGCACCTTTCCGATGAACCCTCTGATCGCCTTGGGTCTGCTCGCAAGGCTCGGCAAGGCGCCCTCGGAGGTCCGGAAGGGCCAGCGGACCTTGTCCAAGGGCGCCCAGGGGGCCGCCGAGACGTCCGACAGGGCGTCCGGGGCGTCCCTGGAAGGGGGTCCGGTTTAGGGGGGGGGGTCCGGGCAATAACAGTAGAGGAATACGAATATATACACAGATATATATATATATATATATAGAGAGAGAGAGAGAGAAGAGAGAGAGAGAGAGAATAGTGCAACATACATAGCACATGGCTAACCAGGCGCCGGGCCAGAAAGCGCTCGCCACCGAACAACTTCCTAGTTCTTTCTGGGGTGGAGAAAGATAATGCAAAAAAAGGATGAGAGCGCGCCTCGCCCCGGGGGGCCGCGCACGACGAAGATAGAACGCACCGGAACCCCCCCGCGGGAGCGAGGCAGAGGGGGGCGGCGGAGAAAAAAAAAAATAAAGAAGAGAAAGAAAAGAGAAAGAAAAAGAACAAGGAAGTAAAACAAGAAGAAAAAAGAAAAAGGAAAAAAAAAAAAGGCAAGCCTCATACCGCACAACCCCCCACAAAAAAAACAAACGAAGAGTATCGTGCGAGGAAAAAAAATAGTAAAAAAAAAAGGAGCCACCTCGAGCCTGGCAGGGCAGGGGGGGCGGGGCTGCTTGCAACCGAACAACCGGCTGTCCACTCTCTTCCTTCCTTCTCCCCTCCTCTCCTCCTCCTCCTCCTCCTCCTCTCCTCCTCCTCCTCCTCCTCCTCCTCCTCCTCCCGCACTCCTCCTCCTCCTCCTGCCTCCTCCTCCCCTCCTCCTCGTCCTCCTCCGCCTCCTCCTCACTCCTCCTCCCTCCGTCCTCCTCCTCCTGCCTCCTCCTCCTCCTCCTCCCTTATCCTCCTCCTCCTCCTCCTCCACCCGTCCTTCCCTCCTCCTCGGCAGAAAAAGCCTCCCCCTCTTCTACACCTCTGAGAGGAGCGTGATCCACGCCGCTTTACTGTGGAAACTTGCCCCCCCTTCCTTCCCTCAGGAACCCTGGTCCCCCCACCCCTCCTCGCGAAAATCGAAAATCCCCCCCCTGCTGGACCCCCCCCCTCCCTCCCCCGGCAAAACCCCCCCCCTAACCCATCCCCCCCCCCTCCCCCTCGAAACCCGGGGGGTCACTACCGGTTCGAACCCCCCCCCCTCGAAAACCGGAGGGGGGTTCACTACCGGTTCGAACCCCTCTCCAGCCCCCCCACTCACCGCCAGCAAACGACTCCCGGTCCCTACCACCGTCCGCGCCACATCCCCCACTGTTGTTCCCAGCACCACTGTCCTCACCACCACTGTCCCCACTGGTTCCACCACCGTCCCTACTGTCCCCACCAGTGCTCCCAACACTGTCGCACTGTCCCCATTGTCCCCACCACTGTTCCCACCACGGTTCCACTCTCTCGACTTTCTCCACGGCCCCAGCCACTGCCCGACGATCCCCACTGTCCCCACTGTCCCACTGACTCCTCCGCTGTCCCACTGAGCTGTCCCACTGTTCCCACCACTGTCCCCACTGTCCCCACCACTGTCCCCACTGTACCTCTGTCCCATTGTCCCACCGCCGTCCTCGCCACCGCCTTCACCACTGTCCCCACCACCACTGTACCCTCCACTGTCCCACTGTTTCCACCTACCCGTCCCCACACCACTGTCCCCACCACCACCGTCCCCACCACTGTCCATTGTCCCCACTGTCCCCACCATTGTCCTCACCACTGTCCCCACCACTACAGTCCCCACCACTGTCCCAGTGTCCCCACCACTGTCCCGCTGTCCCCTCACCACTGTCCCCACCACCACCGTCCCCACCACTGTGCGCACCCCCCCTCGGTTTTCGAGGAGGGGGGGGGGTTCGAACCGGTAGTGATCCCCCCCGGTTTTCGAGGGGGGGGGGGGGGGGAGGGGTTCGAACCGGTAGTGACCCCCGCCGGTTTTCCGGAGGGGGGGGGAGGGGTTCGAACAGGTAGTGACCCCCCCCCCTTTTCATGATGAACTGGGGGGGGGGAAGGGTTAGAACCGGTAGTGACCCCCCCCGGTTTTCCGGAGGGGGGGGGAGGGGTTCGAACCGGTAGTGACCCCCCCCGGTTCTCCGCCAGCAGCGGTAGAACACGCTCTTTCCGAGCACGCGATCTTGTGTGGTGGAGGTCGTCCAGGATCGCTGATGCTGCACGAGACAAACCGGCACAGTGGCATCAGGGGCACTGCACTGGCGGCGGCTGTAGGGCAGCTGTCGGCTTCGTGCGGGGCTGATTACCATAGTCGGCTGTCCGTACTCTCCTTCTCGTCCTTCTCCCCGTCCTTACCTTCCTCTCTCTTTATCTCGAAGGCCCTCGATTCGCATGAGTCTATCCTGATCCTCCTGCAGCCACCTCAGCCCTCCTGATCCTCATCCCCCCTCCACCTCCTCATCATCATCCTTCCCTCCTATTCATCCGTCTTCTCCGTATGGAAAGAAAAAGTGTCGCGCATGCGCGACTCCACCGCAAAAGGAAAGCCGCAGATACCAGATGTAGCAGCCCGTTGGAGGACGAAAGCCAGTAATCGCTGAATCACCAAATGAGGTCACAAACCCTGTGTTTCGAAAATCCTTCATCGTCGCCTCCTCCTCCTGCCCCTGGTCGTCCTCCTCCTACTCCTCCTCCTCCTCCTCCTCCTCCTGCTCATCCTCCTCCTCCATATCCTCCTCCATCTCCTCCTCCTCCTCCTTCTCCTAATCCTCATCTCCTCATCATCATCAGCAGCATCATCAGCATCAGCAGCATCATCATCATCATCATCATCATCATCATCATCATCACCATCAACAACATCATAAGCATCATCATCATGATCACCACAACCCCACAATCACCACCACCACCACAACCACAACCAACCCCATCATCATCAGCAGCATCATCATCAGCAGCATCATCAACATCATAATCAGCAGCAGCATCATCATCAGCAGCAGTAACAGTATCATCATAGTCATCAGCAGAATGAGCATCGTCATCATCATCACCATTACATCATCACCACCACCACCACCATCAACATCATCATCATCACAAACAACATCCTAATCATCAAAAGCATCGTCATCATCACCACACCACCACCACCACCATCATCATCAGCACCAGTATCATCATCATCAGCAGCATCGTCACCAGCATCATCATCAGCAGCAGCATCCTCATCATGAGCTGCAGCAACAGTATCATAGTCATCAGCATCATCTGCATCATCATCATCATAACCACCATCATCATAACCACCATCATCATCATCATCATCGTCATCAGCAGCAGCATCAGCAGCATCAGCATCAGCATCGTCATCATCATCATCATCATCATCATCATCATCATCATCATCATCATCATCATCATCATCATCATCATCATCCTAAACAGCATCATCATCATCATCAGAATCAGCATCATGACCATAATCATGACCATCATCAGCAGGAACATCCTCATCATAAGAACCACCATCATCATCACCAGCATCAGCATCAGCAGCAGCATCATCACCATGATCAATCAGCATCATCATCACCGCCACCATCACAATCCCCATCACCATCATCAGCACCAGCACCATCCTCCTCCGCCTCAGCATACTCATCATCATCATCGTCATCATAAGCAGCATCGTCATCATCATCACCATCACCATCACCATCATCACCACCATCATCATCGTCAGCATAATCACAATAATCATGAGAATCATTATCAGCGGCAGTATCATCAACATCAGCATCATCATTGTCATCGTCACCGTCATCGTAACTGTCGTCATCATCATCAGCAGCAGCAGCATCAGCAGCATCATCATCATCAGCAGCAGCATCATCACCAGTATCGTCGTCGTCGTCGTCCACATCCGCATCCTCATCCTCATCCTCATCGTCATCCTCGTCCTTCTCCACCTCGTCACCGCCTCCTCATTCTTCGTTCTCATCCGCTTCATTTTCCTCCTTATCCTCCTCCTCATCATCTGCACCAGCATCAGCATCAGCATCACAAACTTCAGCATTATAATCAGCATCACCATCATCATCATCACCACCATCACCATCACCATCACCATCATCATTATCATCATCGTCGTCGTCATCATCGTCATCGTCGTCGGCGTCGGCGTCGCCGTCGCCGTCGTCATCGTCATCGCCATTTCCGTCATGTTTGTCGCGGTCGTCGCCGTCGTGGTCGTCGTCATTGCCGTCGTCCATCGTCATCGTCATCGTCACCTTCCTCTTTCCTCTCGTCCAATAGCAACCCTCAGAAGCCCTTGGCATTTCCCGAGCATACTCTGTTACTCCTGGAACCACCTCGAAGACTGCTGCCCCTCTTTCCCCTTCTTCTCCTCCTCCTCCTCCTCCTCCTCCTCCTCCTCCTGCTCCTCCCCTTTCTCCGCATCTTCCTCTCCTCCTCCTCCTCCACCTCCTCCTCCTCCTCATCCCTCTTATCCTTCTCTTCCTCCTCCTCCTCTTAGGATTATATAAAGAGGCGCTGTAAAGTGTGCTGGCAAGTTTGGGGGTTGCTGATTGGGGGGGGGCAACTCAAACTGTGTTTGGCCTCCTGCGGGGCCGTCCTGGACTTCGTTCGGCACGTGTTCAGCCCGCTTAGGAGTAACATTTGGCACCAACGAGAGCTACAACGAGAAACAAAACAACAAGTATGTTTGACGCGAAGCGCGTTGAATCACAGCTTCAATCCTCTCCATTTGCAGGTCGGTCTGGGCTCCCGTACCCGAGATTGCCTTGCCGCCGTTGCCGATGTGTTGGCCGTCACCACCCCGACGTCGCGGGAAGACTCGGGCCCCGATGCGAGCGCCTCGGCTGTCTTGGGTAGGAGGCAGGCTGAGAGAAGGCTGGGCCGAAAGGTACGCGGAGGGTAGGTATGAGACTGGAGGGCGGAAAGAGGGTAACCGCATACCCTGGAAAACAAAGCATCCCTTTCCCCTTGCATCTCTTCATCCACGGGGTTGGATGTGGTCCAATTGAAACAGCAGACGGGGAGGCCGAACTTTGTCATCCCCTCCAAGATTCCCATCGTAGCTCTGATTGTGAGGATGCCTCAGGCGAAACGCGACCCAAACATCCTAACACCGAGATTTCCGAGAAGAAATGGATTATCCCGCCTGGACCCCGAATCGTACCATCCTGGGGGGATCACTCTCACCACGTCTGTGGGTGGGGGGGCAAGGCGAGGGGGGTACGAAAGGAGGGGAGCGAGAAGCAGCGGATCGGAGGAGGAAGCGACAGGGGGGGGAGCAGCGAGGGAGGCACCGAGCAGCGAGCAGAAGCGGGAAGGAGCCGCGTGGGCGGCCGAGCCTGGGCTGCGGGCCCCGACGGCCTCCGCACGCCCCCCCCCCCGCGCCCCGGGGGGAGCGGCAGCGCACGTCCGTGCCAAGAGTGCCTCCCCTCCTCCTGAGGGCAGCGCTGAGTACCAAGTGCCGCGGGCAGGCTGGACACCAAGACTCGTGAATGCCCGTGGATAAGCTGAGCGTAGCCTGCCTGGCTTTTAGCGGAAGAGGTTCGCGCTCGCCCCGCAGATCGAAAAAGAAAAAAACCTGTGGATCAGCTGAGCCTGGGCCCACAGAAAGCGGAACAGCTCCCAGAGCAGCCTTCATTGCAGCTTCGGTTCGGTTCATGGAGGGGCTGGCGCCCCTGGAAGAAAGCACGGCCTGCCACGCTCCGACAACCCGAGACACATCCATCGTCGCAGGCCCTCTTGTACACCGATGGCTGACTCATCCAAAGATCCGATTTCACATGTGCCTGAGGGCACGGAACCGCCAGACATTCCTCCTCGCTATCCTTCACGGTTCCCCCCTTTTCATCATCCTCATCATCGTGCTCATCACCGTGGTCATCATAAGCATCATCGGCATATTGTGTCAACATCCTCCTCGACCTCCTCCACGCGCCGCCTCGCAGCACGGAGCTGGGGCGGAGGGCGGCAGGCTCGCGCGCGGGCCCCCAGGCGCCTGACCACGCCGTCCCCGGAGGTTGCCGCTGGGCCCCACGAGCCTGCGGGTCAGCGGTGGGAGCACGGCTTCGGCAAGCGGGGCATCGGAGGTCGATCGGAAGCGACAAGGCGAAGGCGAGAACGGAAAAAAAACATTGAGTTCATCAGGTCTTGGAGCCATTTCGACTTCTTGGGAGCGTCCTTGGAGTTCGGGGGGCACTTGGAACCGTCTTCGGGCCGCCTGGAGGCCTCTTGAAGGCATGTCGGAGTCTATCATGACCCATCTTTGGGGCAGGGAGGGTCGGGCCGAGGATGATCGAGGATCGAGGCGTGTCTGGACAAGCGCCGCTGCGCTTGCTCCAGGCCTCCAGGGGCCCTCGACGCAGCCGCCGGGGCCACCGCGCAGTCCTGGCTAAATGGCGCCCCAAGACGGGTTCAGGGGCGATTTTTGACGGATCGGGACGACTCAGACCTCCTGCGCCGCGAGAAAAACTCGGCTTCGCCACGAGCGTCTCATTCCTCTGCATGGCTGGAGGCTGTCTTCGGGGCCCTGGGGCTTGCAAAGAGCGATCCCACGACGAGGAGCCGATCCTGGGGATGGCGTCGACAGCTCCTGGCTAAGACTCCCACAGGGAGAGAGGGACGGAGGGACGGAGGGAGGGAGAAGGGGAGAAGGTCCCCAGAAGTCCGAAGAAGTCCCAAGAAAGAGGAGGAGGTCCAAAGAAGCCCGAAGAAGTCCCCAGAAGCCTCAGAGGGGACTTCAGAAGCCTCCAGAGGTCCAGAACGAGCCAAGAATACCGAACGTCTCTGCATACTTCCTCCACCTCCTCCTCGTCCTCCTTCTCCTCCTCCTCCTCCTCCTCCTCCTCCTCCTCCTCCTCCTCATCCTTTCTACGTTCAGCAAACCTTAAGACAAAAACCTGTGGCGTTCATCATCCTCCTCGTCCTCCTCCTCATCCTCTCTCCTTCTTCTCCTCCTCCTCCTCCTCCTCTTCCTCCTCCTCCTCCTCCTCCATTCCTTCTCCTTATACATAGCTTTTCCCTGTCGCACCCCGATGCCAGTTTTTAGGGCGGGCTGGGCGTTTCGCCTGAGATTTCCCCACCACTTCTGACTCTGAATCCTAAAAGTTGGCAGGAGCTTCACAGATGAAGGGCGGATCGTTTTCAAATGTGGCTCTCGCCTTAGCGCCACGCACTTTCGTTTGAAAAGAATGCATCAAGAGCTTCACGGATTGAGGAGGGGCCGTTTTCAAAATGTGGCTCTCGCATTAGCGCCGCGCACACTCGCCTTAAACATGTGCAAGGGTTTCACGGGTTGAGGGCGAGTGGTTTTCAAAATGTGGCTCTCGCCTTAGCGCCGCGCACATTCGTCTTGAAAATTTGTGAGAGGTTCACGGATTGAAGGCGGATCCTTTTCAAAATGTGGCTCTCGCCTTAACGCCGCGCACATTCGTCTTAACAGTTGGCAAGAGTTTCAGGAATTCCCATGATCAACATACCAGAAATCGTGGTTTGACAAATTTAGGCTTATGAGAGAGCACAAGTAATCTTGTATCGCGGTATTCAAGTCCCAGGAATGGCGTTCTGGCACGATTCAGGATCGTCAAAACGCAAGTCAGGTTGATCCGTGGCGTTGGAATCCAAAGAACAATGTTTTGGCATGCTTCAGGGTCTTCGAACAGTGGTCTTCCAACGAGGCAGATCCCTGTGAAAATGAACCGTTGTAGGGGCCTATGAAGAGGAGCTTGGAAGGAAGGTTTATCCCAACATCGTTGATGCCTCTTGAGTTTACACTGGTTCTCCTCCTCATACTCCTCCTCCTCCGCTGATTTTCCCCCCGAAAAAAACAACTTCTCTCTGTCGCACCCCGAAGCCAGATTTTAGCCCGAGCCGGGCGTTTCGCCTGAGGCTTCTTCACTACGTATGACCCTGAAGCTCAAACATTGGCAACAGTTGCACAGATGGAGGGCGAGTGGCTCTTTCAAAATGTGGCTCTCGCCCTAGCGTCGCGCACGTTCGTTTTCAAAAGTTTGCAAGAGTTCCACAGACTCCCATGATCAGCGTACCGGATGACGTGTTTTCGCGGGATTGTGGATTATGAGGGCGCAACAGTTACGTTGATTCGCGGTGTTGGAGCAGTCCCAAGAATGGCGTTCTGGCACGATTCAGGATCGTAAGACGCGACAGTCAGGTTGATCCATGGCGTTGAACTCTCAATAACATTGTGTTGGCCGGTGTCAAGGTCTTCAAACCACTGTCCTCCAACGAGCCACTTTCATCAGTGGAAATGAACTGTTGTAGGGGCCTACAACGAGGGAGCTTGGAGGGAGGGGTTATTCTAACCTAACATCGTTGATGACTCTTGAGTTTACACTGGTCCTCCTCCTCCTCCTCCTCCTCCTCCTCCTCCTCCCTCCCTCTTCCCCTCCCTCCCTCCCTCCCTCCCTCCCTCCTCCTCCGCCTCCTCCTCCTCCTCCTCCTTCGCCTCCTCCTCCTCCTTCTCCATTCCTTTTTCTTATCAATAACTTCTCCCTGTCGCACCCAGAGACCAGATTTTAGGCTGGGACGGGCGTTTCGCCTGAGATTTCCTCACCACTTATGACCCTGAAGCGTAAACATTGGCAACAATTCCACACATGGTTTTCAAAATGTAACTCTCGCCTGAGTGCCGCGCACATTCGTTTGAAAGAATTGAAAGGGTTTCACAGGTTGAACGCAAGTCGTTTTCAACATGTGGCTCTCGCCTTAGCGCCGCGCACCGTTGTCATTTGGAAAAAATCACGGGTTGAGGGCGGTTCCTTTTCAAAATGTGGATCTCGCCCTAGCGCCGCGCACACTCGACTTGTTCAATTGCAACAGTTTCACGGACTCCTATGATCAGCGTGCCGAAAAACGGTTTTTTTTCCGAAGGATTCACGATTATGAGGGCGCAACAGTCACGTTGATTCGCGGCGTTGGCGTCCCAGGATCGGCGTTCTGGCACGATTCAGGATCGTCACGACGCAACAGCCAGTATAATCCGCGGCGTTGGAATCCCGAGAACAATGTTTTGGCATGAGTCAGGGTCTTCAAACGGTTGTCTTCCAACGAGGCAGTTCCCTCAGTGGAAATGAAGCGTTGTGGGGACCTATGGATAGGGAGCCTGGAAAGAGGGTTGACTTCAACTTCGTTGACGACTCTTCGGTTTACACTGGTCCTCCTCGTCCTCCTCGTCCTCCTCCTGCTCCTCCTCCTCCTCCTCCTCCTCCTCCTCCTCCTCGTTTTCCTCCTTGGCGGTGCGCACAACGGGGTGGAGGGAGGGGGGGAGGTTTTTTAGAAGGAGGTTGCGTCTTAGAACGCGCCGGCCGTACATCGATTAGATAAGGCCCGCGCCTTCCAAGAAGCAGGGGTGCCTCTAAAAAGCCCTCCTCTCCCCTCCCCCCACCCCCTATGCGCGTGGCTGGCCTCTGCCCCCCTTCAGCAGAGCGTCGACGACGACGACGACGACGACGAAAACAAATGTCGACGTCGACGACGATGAGCACCGACAAGAGGGACCGACGACGACAACGACGACGATCGACGAGGACCGACGGTGAGGACCGCGGCGGCGGCGCGACCAGGAACACAACGACGAGGACCGACGACGACGGTCGACGAGGACCGACGGCGAGGACCGCGGCGGCGGCGCAGCGACGACGACGACGACGACGACGACGACGACCTCAACGACGACGAAAACCGACGACGAGGACCAAAGCCGCGGCGACGGCAACCGGGGCGGCGGGGCGCGCCGCAAAATCCGCTCCCCCACGGACAGGCCGTCCCGGAGGAGCGCCCGCAGGCGCTCCAGCAGGCTGGTCGGACTCGCCTTGCCCCGGAGCTCGAGGAGGAGGAGGAGGAGGAGGAGGAGGACGAGGAGGAGGAGGAGGAGGAGGAGGAGGAGAGACGAGAAGGAGGAGGAGGAGGAGGAGGAGGAGGAGGAAAAGGAGGAGAAGAAGAATTAGGACGACGACGAGAAGGGGGAGGGGGATCGAGGATCGAGGATGCACAGGAGTCCGCGGTCGACCACGCCGCCGCGGCCCCGCGCGCGCCCTCGCTAGGCGCGCGTCGGGCACCGTCAGGTTCCTGGGAGGGCGCGAGGCGTGCCGCAGCAGGCGGCACCCTCCCCGTCACTACCACTCCAGGGCACAATATCTCTGCGGGGGAAGGGACGTTGGTCAACCTCCCCCCGAACCGTGAACTCCCACAGGTCAACCTCGAACAGCACGACGGTGTCCATCAGCTGCTCGTCGAACCTTGCGCATCTTTCCTCCGTTCGGGGGCCGCGTTCCATCTGGCCAGCATTTTCCAGCCTTGGGCGGCAGCCCCATCCGTAATCGCTTCCAAAAAACCGTCTCTCCACTGGGCGTGACCCTGTCTCTGCACTCGTCGGCGAGCAGCGCCAGTCTTCCTCGTCCGTCGCTGTTGTGAAAGCCACCAGCGCTCACCTACGACACCAAAACTGGCCATGGGCGACAGCGATGCGGTGGCTCGGGTGGATCACCTTGTCGTGTATGTATGTCATCTCGATGTTGGGTACTGGTACTGCATGCCCATGATCTGCTCGATGGGTTTCGTACTGTCGTCCAATACATATGCTAGTCTTCATCCAGTCAATCAAACTGTACTTGCCTGGCGGCTACCATTCTCTGCACACCCACTGGCCCTTCTGCTTGTTCATGTTGTGCCCAGCCTCTTGTTCTAATTGCTGTCGTCGCTGTCTGGCGGCATGTCCCAGTGCAGGCGGTGGTTGGTCATGCTTTATCGCGTCCACATCCTCGCAGATCTCGAAATTGATGGCTGCCGCTCGCCTATGAACCTTTCTGAGCAATCCCTCCGCGTCGGCCAGCAGCTGCACGTCTTGCTTGATGTCGAAGCGTGCTTCTTCGGCTCCTCGTTGCGCCAGAGCGTCCGCAATCTCGTTGCCAATGCTGAACTCAAGCGACTGCTTCGTCTTAGCTATGGACTCGCGGTCGAGGTGCGAGTAGCATTTGATGACTCTGACTCCTTCATCGCGCCCTGGTCGCATTTGAATCAGTTGGCCTATCCTTTGCCACCACCCAATCATTGTCCCATGCGGCCTCAAGCAAAGCTGCCGGTGCCATTCATCAGCCACTTGCTGACAGTCCGCGCAGACGGCGATGGGACCTTCGGCAAGCACGAGGGCCAAGAACAATGCCGCATGCTGTGCAGCACGTACTGAATGTTCGCTGTCGACTGTGCCAAAATATCCCTTGTGCGTCGCGCCTTCCACTCTTCCAGCGCTCAGGCTGGGATCGCCCCGCAAAACGCGCTGGGCGCCAGCACCTCGCACTGCACCCCCGCCTCCCGTGGATGGGATGCCCTGGGCGCTGGTCACCTGCCCAGGCGACATGAACCCAAGGCGCGGGCCTGCCAAGCTCCGCTCCTCGGGGTTTGCCATAGGTTGCTGTTCATCACCAGGTTCTGGTTGTTCGCCGTCGACTGTGCCATAAAATGATCTGTGCGTCGCACCTTCAATTCTTCCATCGTTCGGGTTGGGATCGCCCAGCAAAACGGGCCAGGCGCCAGCACCGCGCACTGCACCCCCGCCTTGTGGAAGGGGCGCCCTGGGCGCTGGCCACCTGCCCAAGCGGCATGAACCCAAGGCGCGGGCCCGCCAAGCTCCGCTCCTCGGGGTTTGCCACAGGTTGCTGCTCATCATCATAATATTATGGATTATATGCTTCAAAGGTGGGGTGCTCGATCTTGCAGTAGCTGTCGGAAGTGTTCCTTGATTTCTCGGACGCTGGCCCACCAATGTGCAACGTAGACTTAACGTTCTCGCCCATGTAGTTGTTGGAGATTTCCGAATACCACTTGTCTTCGGCTCCTCGCTGTGGTCCATGATCCATCGCACATGCCCTTCGCTATCTGGTTGACGTCCGTGGTTTGAGATATTTGTGCGAGGTGTCGTAGTCGGTCTGCTTGTTCTGGCAAGTGTAGCCATGTCCCCATGCACGGCGCACACCACACCTTCCGGTTACTCTCGCTAATCTCCCGGTCGTTGCTGAGGTCCACCACCCACGAAGAAGCCCAGACTTCCATGTCATGTATGATGTCGAGCGCTGGTGGGTTCGCATGGCCTGCTCTTGGTAGATCTGCCTGCTCCTTGTCGGCGACGTCCTGCTTCTCGATTGCATTGCACCAGAGCACTTCACACCCTGATCCTGTCGTTGGTCTCCCTGTCGAGCTGTGTAGCTGAAGTGCGACTCGCCACCCAACACGATAGATACGCATGTCGTTGCTTGTGCCCGAGCCGTCGATGTAGGCACACTTGCAGTAGCGAGGCCTTGTCGCTGCCATCGTGTCAGGAACTACTAAGGGCCCTCTGTGCTCGGTACTCCAGCATCATCCATCCCACTCCCCCCAGGCGGGGAAGTCTGGAACAGGGTTACGATGTCGAGGTAGAAGTCCACGTAGCCAGAAAGCCTCGCTCTCAGGGTCCTGCTCCATCTCATCCAGCGCCTGATTCCAGATGCTCTGCGTCTTGGTGATGTCCTCCACGTTGAGGTTGTTATTCATCTCGCACTCGTAGATCCTGCGTTTGAGCGCGTCGGACGCCTTGCCACACCTCGCACAGATACCGCCTGCGACATACCCCGCCGCTATGCATCTTTCTCCTGTCCAGATTGCCCCGCAAGCTACTGCTTCTAAGGCCCCAGCTGCTTGTGCTGCATCTTCTTTGCGGAAACGTTGCATGGATTTCCCGGGAGCCGTCGTGTCCACGCCGTGCTGCATGCCATTGCCGCAATAGTTGCATTTGGCCTTCTGCCAGAGCTGCTGGCCAATATCTTTGGCAAGGGTGCTCCTGATGCTCTTGAGGTCCAGAACCTGGCCGTCGGCGAATCTCCATACTTCGCCTCTGGGATCTCGCCATTCATCAGGTTCACGCGGTTCCCAATGCATCTGCTGTAGCGAGAGAACGAGGGCCCCCATAGGCCCTGATATTGAATTCCACTTGCCCCTGGGCTTCATCTGCGTGAGCCTGCCGAGGTTCGCGCGCCACCCTTGGCGTAGACGATCGCGTGCAGCTGGTCCGCCTTGCCAGGTGGGCAGCCATTCCTTGACTTGTCGTTGGAGGCATCCCGTTCCAGGTTCTGTCTCCATAAAACAATGCGCTGATCGTCGACGTGCACCAGCCTCCCGCACCGAAGCCTGCCATGTCCGCTGCCTGTGCACGTGCTGATCGAACCCCGTGCGGGCTAAGTCCTGTTACTGGTCAACCGTAGTTCTGTTTGGCGAGCAGGTTGGCGCTGTACAGCATGGCAGCCCCCTTTCTCCATCGTCATTTGTTCCTCGTGAAAGGCCTTGCCCTTCAGGCTCGTTCACGCGCTTGGTTGGTACGCTTTCGCCAGGTCGAAGTTGTCCTTCTACGCCCAAGCGCAGCACCGATGCCCAGGTCCTCGACGAAACTTCGCGCCTGTATTCCAATCCATGTGCTCTTCATGTTTTCATGATGTGCTTCTCGGTCGCTCGACAGTTCGCGAGGACCGCTGGCATGCTTGAGAACGCCAGCTTAGAGTCTAGCGCGCCTGGGCCAGCGCGTCAATGGACTTGGAGAGCTGATCCTTGAATTCGGCTTCGGCCCCTTCGACTCGCGCATGCAGGTCGCCCACGAACTCCCGCGCGATTGCCAGCGGTGCTGACCTGTGGGCGATGTCCAGCACGGTGTAGACCATGGCTCGGGCAGCGCGGTTGGCCGCAGGGCATCTTGCCACGACGCCGTTCCATGGACATATCGGCGCTGCGTGATCGCGGCATGCCCGTGCCACTCTTGGGGACAAGTACATCAACATCAACATGTCCATGTACAGGTTGACCCTCGGGTTGTCCAATTGCATAGCCCGTCTGGTGAACATGCCGAGGTCCACGCTGTCGTAGAATCACAAAGTCCAGGTAGAAGGTGCCGTAGGAAATGCACTTGAGCTTCGCTCTGGTCTCGTCCAATACCATGGAGAGGAGTGCTACTCGTAAAGCTGATGAGCCTTGGATGGCCGCGCCCCAATAGCCCGCCATATCAGCGCGCCACTCTTTCATTTTTTTTTTTTTTTTTTTTTTTTTTTTTTTTTGCCATCTTACCCCATAACCGCACTGGGAAAGGTAGTAAGCCAATCGGTCGTTCTTCTCCTGCTGCGTTCGATCCAGCCTTGACTAGTAGGTGGTACAAGACGTGGAAAACTGGCACGGCCAGCTGGGCTATGTCTCACAAGTTGATTATGCTCACGAGGCTCTGCTTGGCTTCTGCAGGAAGGGCTCGTGGTCTGGGTGGCTGCCATTGGTCAGCTCCTCTTGCCGTCGTTGGACTGATCTTGGGTATTGCTGCCTCCAGATCCTCGAGGTCGCACTGCATTGTCTGCGGTAGTTCTTATTGAGCTGCTTCACGGAGTTCTTGCATGGCTTGGCGTATCCCGCCTTATTGGCCATGTCTCTGCCATCGCAATTGCCACAGACCAGCTCGGCAATCAGTAGCTCCTCGCAATGCTCCAGTCGCATGCTTGGCAATGGGATCAACTACCGTGACTGGTAGGTCTCGTCGCTCATGTTTGCTCGAATATCTGCGTGCGCCCTTCATGCTGTTCGAGAGCGTAGAGCGCACCCACCGTGAGACTTGTTCACGGATGCCTTTCCAAGCTTGTCGCCCATGCCATTCAGCTCGGACTCGTGTAGCCTCCGTTGCATCTGCCCAGTCACCGATGTTTTCCATTGTGACGTCTGGGTCTTCATCATGTCGTAACCTTGTGACTCCTAATGCAAGTTAGTAGGCCTGCTGGTCAAGGTAGCCCATCTCCGCTGCGTTCGTCTGAGCAC